CCTCTCTCTCTCTCTCTCTCTCGCTCTCTCTCTCTCTCTCTCTCTCTCTCGGCAGCACCTTGTTCTGTTTCATGCAGTATTTTTTTCTCTGAGGCTATAATTACAAATGAGATTTGAAGCTAAATCTAACATGCTTTATTTCCCCACTGTTTTGTGTTTGTCTTGTGGGAGGGAACCTGGTGAATCTGGCTATTCCATGATCAAGAATGAAGCACTTAAACAACTGGTAGAAAGATGGCCTTCCAAATCAATTTCAAATGTAAATGCCAAGTTGGGAATAACTTTGTAATTGCATATAATGGAGGTAGGTTTTTTTAATGTGCACATATGTGTATAGGTGTGTCTTTTCTGTTCTTAAAATCTTAATCTTTGATCTTAAGTACTTTATTGCTCACGGAGATGGACCGGAGAGAAGTGTGCCTTTTCATTGGTGTTATTCTGTGGTTTAGGGCGGCTGGGGAAGCCTGTGGGTGGAAGTGCAGACACACTTCTGTGGCGGTTGTGAGCGAGGAGAGGCAGCTGCTGAGGGCAAGATCCTGCACTTCTCCACTGGCTCTTTCTGTTGTTTGTTTGTTTGGATTTTGGTGGCCCTAGAGATTAAACCCAGGCCTTCACACTCAGCTATATGCCCAACCCTTAGTTTCATTTTTTGAGCCAGAGGTTGCTAAGTCATGATGTTGCCCAGGCTGGGCGTGAACTTGTGATCCTCCTGCCTCAGCCTCCCAGAGTCCTGGGACTGTAGGTGTCCTCTGTTAGGCCCACCATAATAACTTAATGTTTTTGTGCATTCTGTAAAAAAGTGGAGGAATTTGATTCCTGAAATTGGGTGTTGAGTAGTCATCTTTTTACGTTACTAGTAATGTTGGTTATGGCGGAAGTCCTAGGCCATTTATGTGGAGAAGCACCTTGTGGTGGTTCTGCCCCCGTGGTGGAGCCCGGAGCTCAACGAAGGTGGGCTTCTGAGCAGCACGGAGGGGGCCAGCTGCGGAGCCCTCCCAGGCCTTCTCCGAGGTCTGTGCGCTGTGTCTGAGGTGTGATACTCACTTAGCTGAACAGAGACAGCGGTGAGGCTTTGTCAGGAGACGAAGGCCGGGGTAGGAGTTTAAAACAAAACCTGCAGGCCCGGGGCTGTGAGGTCATAGCCACATCCTCATCAGACCCTTCCTGCTGGCCGCGTCTGTGTGTCCTTGCACACTCTCACCTCTACTGGCGAGGAAGCTGAGGCAGGAAGCTCCGTGCTTTGTGCGGGGGCTCAGTGGGGATGGGCATGACGCTGGGATTCAGACCAGGCTCGGAAGATTCTGAAACCTGTGATCTGCCACATGCTGTGGCACTAGTTTGAAGACGCTGTCCTTTCGCAGGCTGGCTGGCACAGATGCTGTGTTCAAAATAGGCCTGGACGCTCAGAAAACAATGTTACCCGCTGGAAATTTTAAAACATTATTTGATATTTTCTTTCCTTTTTAGAAAGAGCCTTTTCCTTTCCAGAAAAAAGCCTTTGCTTAACAAAAGTTAAATTAAAACTTTTCATTAAAAATGATTCTTGAAGCTGGGTGTGGTGGCACACGCCTGTAATCCCAGCATAAGGGAGGCTGAGGCAGGAGGATCACTGCGAGACGGGCCTGGGCTACAAAGTGAGCTCAAGGTCAGCCTGAACTGCATAGCGAGACCCTGTCTCAAAAACACACACACACAAAAAAAGATTTTTGAGCTGGTCATGGTGGTTCACTCTTGTAATCTCAGCACTCAGGAGGCTGAGACAGGAGGATCTCCATGAGTTCCAGGCCAACCTGAACTCACTGCAGCAAGACCCTGTCTCAAAAAAAAAAAAAAAAAAAAGATTTTTGCAAAGTTTTAGCCCTTAAAAACCCAACCATTACTCTATTTTGAGAGAAGGGTCTCTTTCCTTGTGGCCAGGAAGTGCCTGTGCCGTGGGCATTGGCTCAGGTGAGCATTACTTCGTGCTGTGGGAGTTTGACCACTGTCTTAGTAACGAGAGCTTAGCGGCTGGGAGCGGTAGGGCGGAGCTGTCCCTGATGCGCATCCAGCCTGCTCTGAGAGGATCCACACAGGGGCGCGCTCGGCTCGCTGGCTGGACCCGCTTCCGTGGTTGTGGGCATGCTCGCCGTTTGCTGGCGGGCGCCTGGGTCCCTCCTGTCCTCGAAAGTCCCCCACGTGGCGAGAGCAGTTGGGAACGGCCCGAAGGCTGAGCGCAGCCCTCGCCCTTCCGCCCTCCCACCCTCCGCTGCAGCGCTCTGAACGCTCTGAACGCTGCGCTGTCGTCTCCTGCCTAAGGGCTCCTTCGGTGGCCTTGGGCCTGGCCTGGCCTTCCGGCATGGCCTGCCTGTGGCGGTCCCTCTGTGGGGCAGTGTCTCCGTTAGGAACCGGGGAGATAGGGTCTCCTGGAGATGAGGTAGAGTGCTGCCTCCCGGAGCACTTATGTAACAGATCTCCTCTACAGTAAAGCTCTTCAACTTTCCCAGCGCATATGCCTGCAATGCAATTGTTCAAACTTTTAGCTGTGCGGATTAAAGACTGCCAAAAAAGTAGTAGAGTGTAACCTGCTTCTTACGCTGTCTTTTCAAAGATGGTTCTGCGCTGTTTCACCTTTTGTACTAAAGGCGTCTTCTTTTATAGACCCCTGCATTTACACATACATTTAGAAAGACATTAGCACTTTTTTTCATTTTTGCTTTTTTGGGGTACTGGGTATCGAACTCAGAACCTTGTGCTTGCCAGGCAGGTGTTGTTTTGTCTTTTTGAGAGAGGGCCAGCTGTATTATTCTTCAGGCTGGCCTTGAACTTGAGGCAGTCCTCTTGCCTCAGCCTCCCGGGATGACAGGTGTGCGACACCACATCTTATGAGGTCTGCTTTTTACTGAAAACATTTTCCATCTTCCATGTTATTCTTTGTGCTCCCTCCCCCTCTCTGGTGCCTTGTGATGCTTGGTAGATTTTCAGTAAATGTTGGTTGGTAACTGTTACAGCTGGAGTGCAGGCTGTGGTCACATAAATGCTCTATGAGGTGGGTTGCAGCTTGTAAAAAATCACCCAAGGCAAAGGGCAGCTACCCAATAATGTGGCGTGGTGTGGAAGTTCTTTATTTTGTTCCAGGACTACTCCCTTTGTTTTCTTTTTATAGCTTTATTGATATTTGACATACAGTAAACTGTACATATTTAAAATGTGTAATTTGATAGATTTTGACAGGTTTTAACGCCCATGAAACCATTGCCAGTGTTAGATAGGGATCTCCTCCATCTGCCCTAAGGTCTTCTTGGGTCTGTAACCGCTTCTCTTTGTGCCTCCTTGCGCAGGTTAAGCAAAAAGTACTTGTACTGTGGGTGGACAGTTACCCAAAGGAGTAAATTCCCGTCTAAGGAGATACCTCAATTCATAAGAACCTTTTAACCCCAAAGTGGAAATAATTCAATGTCAGCAAGTGCATGAACAGACAGATTGAATTTATCCATCCATCTATCTATCTATCTATCCATCTGTCATCTGTCTTTTTGAGACAGGGTCTCGCTATGCAGTTCAGGCTGGCCTTGAGCTCACTTTGTAGCTCAGGCTGATCTTGAACTTGCGACGATCCTCCTGCCTCAGCCTCCCGTGTGCTGGGATTACAGGCGTGCGCTACCACGCCCGCCTTGAATGTATTTAGTAATAAAGAGAAATGAACATTTATTTAGTTTGAATTGAAGACTTGCCATATTTGAAACATTTCCTTTCTTTGTTATACAGTAATTCACTGACGTCGGTATTTGCTCTTAGTATATCCCCTGAAATGAAGGGAACTAGTTGATATAACAAGTTTGTTACTGGTGAACCATAAAAGGGTGTGAATCAAGTGCTGATTATTCCTCAGAGAACTTATAGTCAGAAATAGTACAATGTGGTAAATAGGAAGTGATGTCAGTGATGGTAGTGTGGGCTTATAGATTTTTTTATAGGCTTGGTAAGCCAGTACTAGAAGTAGAATTAAAAGAAAGACTTTTAGCACAGACCAAAATGCTCCCTGTCAAAATCCCAGGCACAAGATAACTTTAGGGCTGGTGGAGAAGATCCCTATTTAACACTGGCAATGGTTTCATGGGCGTTAAAACCTGTCAAAATCTTTATTGTGAGCAGAAAAGATGAGCTTTTGGGAAAAAGTTTCCGAGCTCAGCCTCCTGCCTGGCCTTGCTCAGTGCCTGCGTGGTGGTGTTCCCCCTCCAGACCCACGGTTTCACCTCCTCTTGTGAGTCCCCATTTTCACATTATTTCAGGCCGCTTTTCAGTTAGGGACTGAGTCCCTCTTGCCCAGTTGCTTACCTGAGCTGTTGCAGTTACCTCTGGAGGAGCCAACTTCCATTTCTGTCAGACTCTGGGTGGAAAGTTGCATACATCTGGCGGGGTCTGACCCAATCCTGTCTTTTTTTTTTTGGTACTGGGAATCGAACTCAGGACCTTGCACTTGCCAGGCAGGTGTTTGTGCCGCTGAGCTATATCCTCAGCCCTCCAACCCCATGCTTACTCCCTTTGTTTGATTGTATTGTGGTCTGTTTTCTACAGAATGCATCTTTTTTAGGAACATCTGGCTTTCTCACAGAGAACGTCAGTACTGTGTGCTGGGTCTTTGTTCCCCTTCTTTTAAGAGACAAGGGAGGAACAGAGGACGAGTACCGCCTGAGGTCACGCGGCCCGCACGCTGTTGCTGCTGTGCCGTGTGCCATCTGCATGAGATCAGTACAACAGATTAGGTCTGGCGGCAGTTTTCTTGTGTAAGTTAATGGTTTTATAGGGAATTGAAGAATGCACGGCAGGTTACGCATGCAAAGGAGAGTTGCAGTAAACAGGTCAGGACAGGGAACTTAACCAGCCTCATCTGTTTAGAAGCCTGGAACCTGAATGAACCTTGCTGTCATTGTTACGGTACGTTGCTTGTAAAAGGTCCTTTCACTCAGTCTGTTTATGCTTTTCCATTTCCCCTTAGACATATCACACCTGAGAAGTTTTACGTGGAAGCTTGTGATGATGGAGCGGACGACGTGCTCACCATCGACCGCGTCTCCACAGAGGTCACCCTCGCAGGTACTCCGGGGCCAGAGCTGGCCGCCTGCGAAGTCGTGTGTGTGGATTGCAGTCCCTCCTTAGGGTAATCACTGCAAGCTCTGCGTGTGGATCGAGTGCCTCCCTAGAATTTCAATTCTTGCTGCCTCATTTAAGTTTTATGTTCTCTTTTTATAAAAAAGAAAAAAGATCTTTCAAGATTTTAGGTAGCATTTCTGTCTGTGTACTTTAATAACATGAGAAAGTTTTCTTTGTTCCTGTATGTGTATTCTAGCAAGGTTGATTTAGGTGGCTAAGTTTCTCCCCAGAAGTTGTGTCTGAGATATTTGCCAGTTTCAGCTTGAAGTGTAAGGAATTTTATCAGCTACTTCGTTTTTGTTTTGGAGTTTTTTTATGACTTGACAGATAATTTAATAGATAAAAATAAATGAGACTTCACTAAAATTTTAGTCATTTAGACATTGTCTGTCCAGTTGTATTTTTGTTTTACTTCTCTGGTATATGAAAAACAATTTTTTTAATTGTATATAGAACACTGATTTCTAAATAGATTGTGTGAGATAATTTTAATGACAAATTAATGATTATATGATGATATTATCACAGTTACAATTTCATGTCATTGGTTTGAAAATTCCAGTTCATCACCAGAGCTCTAGATTTGCTTTTTTTTAATGTTTGAGTCACCATGGAGCAGGCATTCAGTAAATATCCTCTGAATGGAGGAAGTGATATATAAAAATACTTTCAGTGATAAAGTGTGACTGTAAAATTTCCGTCTCTTTGGTGATTTCACTGTATGTGCAGGTGACATAGACGTGGTTTTCCTTGGATGACGTGGAGTCTGAGCTGTCTCCGTGGGAGAAGTTGGTGTTTCCTGTTTGTTGCTTGGTGGCTGCCCTCAGCAGAGCTGATTGGCTTTGATCAACCTTAGGGCCCAGCTCTTCGGGTTTAAGTACACCGCCAGTTTAATTACTGCTGCCTTTTACCTTGGTGACAGAAGCCTGTGCCTCCTGAGAGCTGTAGTCTGGGTGCATTTTCAGAGTTGCTGACCTTTCGGTGACATTGTACTTGTAGGTGGAGATGGGTGACCCATTGCAGTGGACTGACACGCTCAGTTGGGAGCACTTGGTGTGTAAAAGCCACGCTGCGAGTGTCACCAGGAAGCCCCGGGTAAAAGGCTTGGCCCCAGGGTCGGTGACGAGGGGCTGTCCCGCGGATGCCTGCTTGGCCAGTTTCTTCTCACCGTTGGGAATGCAGACCATGGCCCTGGAAAGAAGGGTTTTTCGTTTTCATGAAAAACTAACGTGTATTCTAGGAGTGGTCTCAGTTTTCTTACTGCTGTACTTGAGTTAGTGTAGTTTCCGGCTGTGTCAGTAGTAATGCGTGTAAGATTGCAGATAATCTCAGCGCCTGCAGCGTCTTCTCTGAGCTCTTTGCACAGGCCTTCCTACTTCTCCCGGTGGTCAGTTGTGTCTGAGTACAGTTAAGTGCACTGGATTCTTAAGAGAAACCCAAGGGAATTTTAGACCTTTTTCAGAATGACTTTATTTAAGATGACAGAATTACAGTCATGGCTACATCAAGAACCAGGCCTTGGGTTTACAGTAGTGATTCTGAGATGAATTTCAGGATGATAAAAGGCGGGAATTGAAAGAGAAGTTTTCCAGCAGCACAAGCTCAGGAAACCTTGGGTTAAGGGTGAATCGGCTCTCCTGCGCAGGCTTCGCAGTCTTTATTCTCCTAATAGGTGTTATGACTCTGCCTGGGAGGACTAGAGGTCTTTTGAGATAAGCAAAATAAGCTTATTTATAACATCTCCGGCCTCCCCTTTGGGGCATTATTTCTAAACGAGAGTTCTGCGGAACCTGTTACGTGAGCTGTGTTGGCTGAAAGCCTAAGAGTCGTGACGTGAACTTGGTAAGATGCTGTAGTGCGAGGAAGCGCAGTGGGCAGATGCAGCGCCAGCTGTGGCGCCTCCCTGCGCACCTGGGCCTCCCTGCGCACCTGGGCCTCCCTGCGCACCTGGGCCTCCCTGTGCGTGCCTCTGCGGAGCGGCTTCTCCCTCCTCCCGCGGGCTTCGCCTCCACTCCCAGTCCTCGCTGTGGAGAGACGGTCTTTCTTTGTATTCTGGTAGTTGCATGGCAGAGGACAAGCTGGTCTCAAACCCTCACTTCCACTTGTTCTCGAACGTTCTTGAAGAGATAAGTACTTAGTTGCTGGCAAGAGAGCGAATAAATTTGGTTGCACACTGGCATTAGAAACAACCCGCAATGTACCCGAAGCGGGAAGCGGTGGACACCATGTTCCAGACACGTAGAGGCCGTTACACGCTGCATTGACGTCTTTATTTTACATTCTGCCGAATTGGAGTCTGACATTAATGCAGGTTTCTCTACTTTCTGTAAAGAAATTATGCATATCGATGTAGTTGAAGTAACTTGAAATCAACCTAAATTTCATTTCTGATGGTGAGCTTTTTAAATCTTTCTTTCTTTCTTTCTTTAGTCAAGAAAGATGTCCCTCCGTCAGCTGTTACGAGACCAATATTTGGCATACTGGGCACAATCCACCTGGTGGCAGGTAAGGGCCCGTAAGCGAGGGAGGCAGGGAAGGTGACAGCGTCAGACTGTAAGGTCAAAAACCACGCTCTTTATATCCTGCCTTAGGCAATAAATCTCTAGGGTGCATAGGTGTTATTATAGTTTCTAAAAGTGAAACTCCCCAGATGGTTAAATTTTTTTTTTTTTTTTTTGGTTTTTCTCCGGTACCGGGAACCGAACTCACGACCTTGCGCTTGCCAGGCAGGCGCTTTGCCGCTGAGCTAAATCCCCAGCCCCCAGATGGCTAAATTTATCAGCCTGAAATTCTGTTTTAAAAGTTTCGTGTTTGGTTGTATTTCAATTAGAGTTGAAATTCCTAACTAGGTAGAATTTTTTTATAAATTCTAACAGGATTTAAGTATTTTTTTTTTTTCACTGTACTGAACCCAGGCTTTTTGCCCTGAGCTGTGTCCCTATCTGTATTTTCTTTTTTTTTGTCTTTTTGAGATAGAGTCTCACTATGCAGTTCAGGCTGGCCTTGTGCTCACTTTGTAGCCCTGGCTGGTCTCGAACTCACAATAATCCTCCTGCCTCAGCCTCCCAAGTGTTGGGATTACAGGCTTGCTCCACCACGTCTGGCTATATTTTTATTTTTTATTTAGAGACAAGACCTCACTAAGTCACCCAGACTGAGCTTGAGCCTGCAATCCTGCTTCAGCCTCCCGAGTGCAGGGATGACAGGTGTGCGCCACCACACCTAGCTACATAAAATTTGTCAGGCACTGCTCACCTTGTAAGATGGTAGCAGCCAGTGCACAGCTCCAGACCAGCATGGCTGCCCACGTTCACAGTGGCACGTGGGACGGACGTTGCAGTGGCGTCGAGGGGCGTTGCCCCATGGTGGCCAGGTCTGGTGACTGTGAGGCTTCTCTTCAGGCCACCCACTGGACATGGGACCTGAGTAGGGCCGGTCAGCAGGTATTTTCTGCCCACTTTCTACTAGCTGAAACGACTCACTCCTTTGGTTGGCGAATGTTTTGTTCTTATCTTTTTGAGAATAAAAACTAGTACGCTAGTCTTTGTATTCATACATTGTAGGGTTGCTTTAAAAATGGGCGTGTTATCTGAAAACCACAGAGTGCTACTTTTCCTGATTTTTGCTTTACTGATTCAGTTTTTGTCTTAGTGATGGTTCTCGGGTTCAGCCCAGGCCCTGGTGTGTGCTAAGCCCGTGCCTACCGCTGGGCTGCATCCTGACACCAATTTTGATATTTATGTACGTTTCATTGTGCTTGTTCCAGGTAATTATCTTATTGTCATTACCAAAAAGACGAAAATAGGCGAATTTTTCAATCATGTAATCTGGAAAGCAACAGATTTTGATATTCTTTCTTATAAGAAGACAATGCTGCACTTAACTGATATTCAGGTAAGAACTGGACGTCGTTGTTAATTGCAAAAGCCAAAGACTCCCCACTGGGCAGGGGGTGCAGGAGACAAAGCACGCTGGATTTCTGTTGAGGCTCATCATTAATAAGGTCTTTTTTCCTACCCTTCTACCCAGAATAAAATATATTTTAAAAATTGCCCATATATTTTATTGGTTTAGGGATTTTTCTAAATAATGAAATTCTTAAACTATGAAATTTCTTATGTAGAGAAAAAAACAAGATATACCTGTGCTCAACATCCAAATTTAACTTCATATTCTCTATAAATAAAACATTAGATACCTTTTAAAGTTCTCTTTATCTCATTCTTTTCCCCAAGAAAGTGCTCTTCACTTTTACCACGTGAGTGTGTGTGCATATGTGTGCAAGTGTGTGCAGAGTATGTCTTCAGGCAGTCCTCTCTCTCCACTTGGTTCTTACGCTTAAATTTCAATTATTTGATTTAGTTCATACCAGTCCCCCAACAACACAGCTTAAGTTTTATTTACCAAAGATTATTGACTGAAGAATTAACCTTGCAAAAATGAAAAAAAGCCAGAAAACCCAAAGAAACCAAAAAACGCCACCTCTGGAAGTGAACGTGAGATAAATGAACTTGAGATAAATGACGTCGAGCCTTTGGGAGTGCTGGCACTGTCACCGTGGGGGAGACGCAGTCAGCATCAAATCAGCATTGATGGGGAAGTGGCGGGGAGGACGTGATGACACCACACACACACACACACACACACACACACACACACACACACGCCCGCCTGCACCCGCACACCCACCACACACTCCCTGCGGGTGGTCCCACTCCCTGAGGGCAATGGCCAGTGCCGGCCAGCCTTGGACAGCGACCGGTGGGCCAGCGCTGGATGTCCCACGCCCTAAGTTGTGACAGGGAGAGGAGGGCAAGCTCCGTTCAAATTTTTTCTTAACAAAGAAATAAGGTATTTTAAATTCTCATGTTTCTAATGCTTCAAATTATAGTAGACCAAAAAAAAATGAGTTTTACCTTTTTTCATTTCCCTGTGCAGTTGTAACTTAAGAGAGTTTTAATATTTTGATAAAAAATAACATTTACAAGCCATGGAACAACCCCAGCTTTTCTGGAGAGCTGTTAAGGTGATTTGGGGTGAGCAAGGCCAAGCTGGCGCGGATACCCCCCCCCCCCATGCACAGGGAGGCCCCTCGCCCGCCCCAGCCGTGCCCGTCCTCACGGACGTGAGGAAGGCTTGTATGGGTGGCCCTTCCTGTTCTAGGAATTGAAAGTTGTATTTTTATGCCCAAGATTACAAAAATGTTTATTTCTAAAAAATGTTTATTTCTAAAAAATGTTTATTTCTAAAAGAAAATTTGTTTTTCTAAAACATATACCTTATCTATGATAAACATTTAAAACAAAATTATGGCAGGGGATGCCTTAATGAAAAGTATGCTTTTCGTACTTTAAAGTTTCTTTTTCTCCTTACTGTGTGTATATTGAGCGGTATGTGGGAGTATATTCATTCTCCACGAGGCGTGATACTTTAAAGAAATCAAGGTGGCTGATTCACCGAATGCGGAGGAGTATTTTCTGGGTGCCTGTCACTGCTCTGCTTCTGTCAGGACGTCTCCTGACTTGAGCATTGCCCACTGCGTATGCTTTTGCCTTTGGTGAAAATATTAGAGATCTCTAAACCCAAATTAAAAATCAGTATTACGTAGGTTTGTAGCATGTTAATCATTTGGTAATCATGAAATATTAAACATTGACAGTTACTTTTAAAACATGAGTAAAATCCAATTTCAATCTTGTTATTCATTGGGAAAGCCAGTTAAAATTATCCAAAAATAAAGGTAAATGTTACTTTCACTGAAAATTTTTAAATTTTTGTTTTATTGTTGGTTTTTTTTTTAAGACAGGGTCTCACTATGCAGTTCAGGCTGGCCTCGAACTCATGGCAATCCTCCTGCCTCAGCCTCCCGAGTGTTGGGATTGCAGGCGTGCACCACCATGTCCCCCCAACCCCTCTCTGTTTTAAAGAAACATTCTATTTTTCTCTCCAACCCAGACCAGTAAACTTCTTGCAAATGGTGGTAGCATTCATCTGTTGTTTACTCTCTGTGTTACTGGGCCCCTCTTGCATTTATGTTAGGAGAGGACAGTTAGTGAGCAGGACTGCTGTGAAGTGTCCAGCATGCATTAGGTTATTACCTGAGGTGATAATATTTTATGAAAATAATTTTCCTGCCCTGTAGAGTAAAAATTGTGGCAGGTGTACCAGAAGGAAAAAAGCCCAACTAGCCAAGTCCCCTGAGAAGGCCTTGGCAGGGCTGCGGAACAGGCTGTGTGTGGCTCTGGAGCTGTCCCTGGTTTGGGGACACAGCTAGCGCCCCCTTTGCTGACTGCTGGGTGTTAGTGGGTCTGCACTTAGGTGTTTGTAGTTTTACTCTTTTTGTGCTAACGGAGTGCTTTCCACTGTGAGGGTGCTGATGCCCCCTTTGTCCACAGTTACAAGATAACAAAACGTTCCTAGCGATGCTGAACAATGTCCTGAGTGTGGATGGATTTTACTTCTCAACGACCTACGATCTGACCCATACTCTGCAGCGGCTGTCCAACACGAGTCCAGAGTTCCAGGAGATGAGTCTCTTGGAAAGGGTAAGCGTGGGCTGCAGTTATTTTTGTTTGCTTGGGGTTTTGCAAAGGAGCGTGTCCTTTTCAGACACACAGGTTTGTAGTAATTTTTGTTGTTGCCCTTACTCTTGCCGGGGCTGGGGCCCAGGGCTTTCGTGTGCTGGCTGGGGAGGCGCTATGCCGAGCGGTGCTGCTGCCCAGAATTGCGGACGGTCTTACTCTCGGCCGTGTTAGGGTCAGGATCTTGTGGGGGTTTGAGAAGATAAACCGTGTTTCTTTCCTTTTTTGTTTGTTTGTTTGTGGTGCTGCCTCAGCCTTGTTTGTATCTGGGCTTCGAGGCCTGCACCACCATGCCTGGGACCATGTTTAAATGTCTATTGGAATTCCAAACTGAGGGCCCTGGAGTCTATACGTACAAAGACAAAATAGAGAACCACTGCCATAGATACTCAGGAATCAAGTCCAAATACATATGTAACTGTTTAGAAGAAAACCTTTCAAATTGTGTTTTTGAATAATATTAGCAGGCTACCAAGTGCTAAGTTTGAGATGTAGAGTCTTCAAAGTAGCATTGCATTCACTTGTAATTTCTTAGCTCTCTGTCCTGTATTGTTATGAACATAATGGGCTTATAAAAAACAATTTTCCAGCAGTTGATTTCAGCAGAGATAATACTCATATTTTAATGGAAAATAGCAGTTTGATCTAAGAACCTGAAAAATATCCACTTGCTTTTGTGTTTTGTTTTTTTGTTTTTCTGTTTGCTTTTGTGTGTGTGTGTGTGTGTGTTTAACGTGAGTGTGTTTTTAAAATTAGATCTTGTATGCCCTCAACCAAAAGGGCTGCAGTTCAGGAACCTGGACAATTGCTGTCTTGGTTTTTTATTTTATTTATTTATTTATTTATTTATTTATTTATTTATTTATTTATAAGAATAAAAGAAGGATAACATCATAATAGGGGGGACTTAGCAAATTACAGACAAAATGGTAGGAAATCATCAATGGTTATCGTTTTACATATTATTATCTACAAAATGTCTTGGTTTTTTATTAACAAGCCATGGATTTGTTTAGGGAATAGAGTTTAACGTTTTTCTGTCACCCACTCACTGTGAGACAGGCGCACAAGAGAGCCCCTGGTTAGCCCTGGGGGCCAGCGGGAAGCCCGGGGAGTAGTCTGCAGTCACGTGTGGCCGGGTGGCAGATGGAGTGTGGGTTTTGGAGGGGGTGTAGTGCCTGGTGATTGGTTCATGGGAGGAAGGAGAGCCCCGAGAGGATCCTGGTCCTGTCTGGGGTGAGGCAGAGAAAGGAGCAGAACAAGGCGGGCGGTTTTCCTGAAGTGAGTGGCTTCCTGACCACTGCTCCTCCTGCTCCTACCCAGCTACCTGGAGGCCAGTGCGGGAGTTTCTCTCTGAAGAGGCCTGGCGCACGCAGCAGATCTTTGACTCCGCTTTCATTCTTCCCAGGCAGATCAGCGGTTCGTCTGGAATGGTCATCTTCTGAGAGAGCTGTCTGCACAGCCGGAGGTAAGGGACACGAGCTAAAGTCTGCCTGCTGTCACTGTCCCAGTGTCAGTGGAGAGCGTCATGGGGCTCCCCGGCCAGCAGAGAGATTTGGATACGAATTCTAACTTCAGCTTTCACACTCCGACCAGGTCGACCCGCTCCTGCCCTGCAGGTCGAAGAGGGCTGATTATTCACTGTGGTCTGGGTTAGCTTTCCCTCGCTGAGACAGAGTACTGGAAGCGCACAGCGTCCTGGGAGGGGAGTTTATTTGGGCTTCCAGTGTCACAGCTTGCAGCTGGCTCCACGTGTCCGGGCCGTGGTCAGGCAGCCTTTTGTGCTCGCGCAGAGCCACTCGGGACATGAGAAGCAGAGCAGGGCCTGGGCAGGACCCAGGGTCGCCTTCAGGGGCCCCGCTCGCAGCGACCCCACTGTTTTCCACTCAGCCCCACCTCTGCAGTGCCGCCGGCTGGGAGCCCGAAGCGGGGAACGTGGTACCCTGAATCCGGGGAATGGGATTGTGTGCTGTCTTTCTTTGGGGTGCTGGGGGACAGTCCTGGAGCCTGGACTCTGGGCCCAGTGAGCTACATCCCTAGGCTCTTTTTAAAAGAAAAATTTGAGTCTCACTCTGTTGCCCCAGCTGGCCTTGAACTTGAGACCTCTTGCCTCAGCCTCCCAAGTAGCCTGTTGTGGTTTGCTGTGAGGTTTTGGGAAGAGTCATTTGAGCTGTGATTAGCGTGGAGTATCCTTTCCATGAAGGAGTGACGTGTTGGAGGCAGAGACAGAGGAGGGAGGTTAACATTCTCTATCTTCCAGTAGTTTTGTTAGTGTTCCAGAGTCTGAATATTCAAGCCCCAGTGATGAGACTGCAGACCTAATGTAATGTAAGAAGGGCCTGTTGTTAGAGTTCTGAGTAGGCGCACTACTTTTTTTTGGTTTTTTGGTTTTGTTTCCGGTACCGGCAATCGAACTCACGACCTTGCGCTTGCCAGGCAGACACTGTGCCGCTGAGCTAAATCCCCAGGCCCTAGCATGCACTACTTTATTTGTGTGTTCCTTCCCTGTGTGAATGTACCTTACACAGTGCCGCTCTATTTACCTGTCGATTTTAATGTGTGTTTTCTCTAAATGCGTGTCTTCCTTTCAGGTCCATCGGTTTGCTCTTCCAGTGTTACATGGCTGTATCCTTACCTGATGCTCTTCGTGGGCTCCAGGCGCCCTGTCTGAATCTCAGAGAGCAGATGTGGAAAGTCGAATGTGGTGTGAGCAGAGTATTTCGGGGTTGGGAGAAGTCGTTGCTGAGAAAAGCAGCAAACTTACTGATGTAAAGTCTTAGCATGCTGAGTGTACGCAGCCATGTTGTTTTTTAAAGAGTGAACCCTCAGACTAGATTAGTAGTTTTAAGGCTGAAGTTCAAAGAAAAGGAACATGTATATCCTGTGTTTTGCCTTTATTTGATGTTATTTTAAGAGTAATGTGTATCTGGCTGTTTAAATGAGACCTTTCCCCAGTCATTAAAAAGGTTACGCTTGGGAACTAGGATGATCAGCAACTTGAGAAGTACAGCTTGCTCGTCATTTGAAATAGTGATAGAAAAATGAAACCAAAGTACGAAGGATGATACTTCGGGAAAATCCAATCCTAGGACAAGTGCAAATGTGTGACGATATCTAATCATAGGTTCGTTTTAAAAACAGCCTCAACAGAGACGTGTGATAAAAGCAGGGAAGCGAAGTGAGTTGGCGCTCAGCGAGCGGGGACGTCGGAGCTGATGTGTGCCTGGAGTCAGGGCTGCCGTGCAGACGGACGGATGGAGCCCCAGAAGCGCGTGACACAGTAGCCCGATTTGCGTGATCATTGTGCTAATAGGACTTGCTAAGTTATCACCTGGCTCTGCCTAAGACCGAAGAGTAGCGGAAGTACGGTTCTGCGTAGTGAAGGGAACCAGAGTGAGGTCTCTGGAGAAAGCCCTCGTCCCATCTGTCTCTTCTGTGTCTGCCGCCCTCCTTTCCCTGGAGGCTCTCACAGGTTCTCCTGAGGAAGAAGTGACACATGTGCTCAGTTCTGGGAGGGTTTGGCCAACTGTTTCTGCTTGGTTTTCAAAATGAGACAGCGACGGGACAAATAATGTCAACCAAGGTGGCAAAGCTACTTTTTCTATGCAACTTCAGAAGCAGCTTACCCGTTAAGCTTCACGTTCAACGCTTTACGTGGGCTTTTGTTTTTCGTAGCTCGTTGACTAGGAAAGTTGTTCCCTGCTGCACGGCACACAGGTCAGCAAGGGCAGCCCTCAGGCAGGCGTGAGCCTCCGGCCGAGTGTGAACAGGTGCAGCTACACCCAGGTTGTACCGAGCTCTCCAGGCCCTGGGATGGGCTGCGGCTTTCACTTTACCGGTTATGAGAAGCCAAGCAGGGTGGTGCATGCTGGGAGGCTGAGGCAGGAGATCAAGTTCAAGCCCAGCCTGGGCAGCTTGGTTAGCGAAATCCTTTCTCAGAATTTAAAAATACAAAAGGATTGGGGATATGGCTCAGTACAAAGGCCTAGGGTTCAATCCCCAGCGCTGCAAAAATACAGAAAAGAGAAGCTTTTGGGGTGATTTGAGCAGAGAATTAGTATAAGCCAGAATCCTACTGGGAGGTGGAGGCTAAGGGAAGTGCAGGGAGGCGGACCCAGGATGCTTAGGAGGAGCTGCAGCTGTTCTGGGCAGAGGCAGGCTGCTGGGCTGGGGCGGTGGGTGGAGTGTAGGTGACTTGGGACAGATTGTGCCCGCAGGCTGGAAGGAGTCTGAAAGAGATCTGTGTGACTCGGCATCTTGCTTGGTGAGGACGAGGGACCAAGGGTGAGTGAGAGGGAGGGCCAGGTCCCAGGATCGCTCCAGGAAGTGAGGATAGGGCAGGAGGTATCGCTCAGTGGCATGGCACCTGCCTGGCAACTGCAAGGTCCTGAGTTCGAGGCCTGGTACCTAAAAATTAAGAATGTATAAGTGAGGACAATCCAGCGGAGGCCTTCGAGGAAGAAGCAGCCAGCCCAGCACGAATGTGGCGGAGAGCGAGGGAGGTCAGTGTTTCCAGGAAGCACAGGCGCTGCTGGCGGCTCGGGGAAAGGGGCTTCGTTCCTCCTCGCCTCCCCTCGGTCCCGGTGAGAAGGGGAATGGGAAGCATGCGGTGTGCTGCCCGGGAGTGGGAGCCGAGCCGCGTGCGTGGGGGGGCTGGCGCTGTGGCCCCTCCGGTGCCCCCAGCAGGCAGCAGTGGGGTGTGGGTGCTGCTGGCTGTGTGCTCTGCCTGGAGCCTGGAGAGGGCTTGTGCTTCCGTAGTGGACTGCGAAGCAGTGTCACAGGCTGGGGTGGGGTGACAGGAATGTTGGAGGCTGACAGTGGGTGAAACACAGATCTTGGAGAAGGCAGGTATACTCCCAGCGCTCTGGGAGGCTGATGCAGGAGGATTGTGACTTACCAGGACCCTATTTGAAAATGAAAAAGGGCCGGGGGTGCAGCTGAGTGCAGAGCCCCAGTGCTTACTCCCCGGTCCCACACAAACATGCAAGTTACCCTACTGTGATGGGCATTAGCGTTCGTGTTCTCCTTGTGTTCTTCTGCGCCTCCTGGAGCTTCCAGAGTGCGCGTGCTTGGCCTCTGACCCGCGGAAGATGACCGTGCAGTGGCGCATCACTTCCTGCCAGGCTCAGCCCGCAAAAGCAGGCCCCCGTCTTACTCATTTCTTTGACGGCTCAAACTAGATAACTTGGCTGAGTCCGTAAGTAAATACTGCCCTGGAATCCCTCATGGTGCTGTCAAGAGGAGCTGCTGGTGAGCCCATGGTGCCAGCAGAGGGAGGAGTGAGTCACCAGGCATCAGGCACTCGTGGGCGGCGTCCTTGGCACCACCGTTTGGAAGTTATTTAGCATTTTCTCGTGAGTTGCTTGCACTTCAGCGTGCTCTCAGCACACTCGCACCAGCAGTGTTCACGGGGCGTCCACAGGCGCGGGTCAGGGCAGAGCGGAACACGAGTCCCGTCCACGGAGAACTGGGCCTTGCTGTGCGGTCCTTGGTCCCCGAGGGCCACAGCCCTTGTTGCAGGAGAGCGCTCCAGCCCTGGAAGGACGCGTCTCGGAGCTTACGGAGAGGAGGAGGAGGGCTTGGCGTTTGGGATTGCTGTGGCGCCGCCTCAGTAAATCCCAGCCACAACCTGAGTGCTGACACTGAAGATGGGGCCCGCTGTGCAAGCCTGAGGAGGCAGCGGGCGGGGGCGGGGGAGCGGGCGGCTCGGGGTATAGGTATTGCTTTGGAGGTGCTTGGTAGGTTCATGGGTACTTCCTTTAGCATGCTTTATCTTGGATGAGTAGCATTACTGAATGAAGGAAGAATGAGACATAGAAAGTAACCATGAGGCAAACCCAAACAAACGAGGAAGGGCCGTGGAGACAGTGACACACACGTGTCTTCTCCCAAGCCCCACCGGCCCGGCGGCACGCAGGAGAAAGCGGGCGAGAGGCCAGAGGAGCTGGCTGAGGTCGGAAGGTGGTGCCGGCCGCTGACCCGCGGCGCTGCTGCCGGAGCCGGTTCCACCTGTCCATACCAGCCTGGTTCTGCCCCCGAGCTCGGGGCAGCCTGCCTGTCCACGGGCAGGGAATGGACATACTGTGCGTGCAGGCAGAGGGTGCTGTGCGGCCACAGCAGCAGAGGAGCCTCAGGAGCATACCGAGCAAAGAGTAAAAGAAGCCCGAGTCCTTTCCCGCGGGGACGCGTCAGCTGCGCAGACTGAGTAGGAGCTGGGTCAGGAGCAGAGCTAGAAGCACGGCCGAGGGGGGCGCGCAGGAGGCCAGGCGCGGATTCAGGTCTTCTCCGACTCCAGTGCTCTACCTCCCTCTGTCATTTCTTAGAGGTTCGTCTGCCCTAAATTTGTGTTTCTCATCCAGAGTAGGATCTTTAGTGACATGGTTAATGCTTTTCAAGCGTGGGTCATGGGAAGGCAACCGCAGTACTGAGCTAGAAGCACTGTCCTGAGGTGCTGAAGCACCCTGTCCGCGTGGCTTTGTAGGGGTCCGGACTTGACAAAGCTTCACAGTGAGGAGGTGACAGTGCTGCAGTCTTAAGAATATTCGTGGAGAGCCGGGAAGACTTGCATATTCTCTGACCTTTGTCTCTTAAAGGAGATTCATTCTCATTAGGATAAAAAATTCAGATTGAGTCTGGAAATAGCACGTGCTGTGTTTTTCTTAATGTGGCTCAGTTATTAACATGCACTCGTGTTCTATCAATGGAAAATACTTCGATTGGATTCTCATCTCCAGGAGGAGCTGTTTCCGAGCCGGGGTGCGCTATTACGTCAGAGGTGAGACTGCTTTTGAGTGTGGCTCAGTAGCGGGTCAGGTCTCCCGCTAGTTAATGTTTGTCCAGAGCGACATGGCTGTAACCTTTTGCATTCATTGTTGTTTCATAGCCTCGTTAAATACTGCTGTCCTCCCCACTCCAGCAGTTAGGTAGGTCTCTCGTGTCTCACCTGACTCGTCAGTTACACGGGCGGTGGGGCTGGGACCCAGGAGGCTGCTGCTGAACTGCTCCAAGGGTTACCGGGGGTCCAGAAGTGCTCAGAGCTTTCAGGTAGAAAGGATGTTAAGTATTTGGGAGTTAGAACTCCATTGATTTCCCTCCCCTCATTTGATGATACGGGTCAACAGCTAGCTTGAAGGTTGTTTTGGGTTAGCAGGCCCTTCTTTATGAAGTAGATCGTGTGGACAGTGTCCTGCGGGGAGGCGTCAGGTACTGGGAAGGGCTCGCCCCCATCACGTCTCTCTAAACACAGAGCACAACGCTTTTCATACGAGGTTCTGTGGGCCTGTGCTCGGAGTGTGGGTGTTCTAGGACCACGTACTTTTTACTTTCATAATTAAAATTAAGCATTTTAGACACATTAATGTTATTATAACTAAATGCTGTTAACATAATGGGCTACAATTGCATTTAATGTGTTATTACTGTGATTTTTTAACTGTCAAAATACAATATTTTTCATAGTAGGATTATGAACATGCTTGGGAAGATTTTTTCCTTTTTCTTCTTTTTTTGAGACAAGTTCTTGCTATGTAGTTCAGGCTGGTCTTGTACACACTGTGTACTCAAAGCAATTCTCCTGTCTCAGCCTCCTGAGTGCTGGGATTACAGGCATGTACAACTACACCCAGCTGAAGATTTTTTTCTTTAAGACATACTAAGTTTGAGAAACCCTGTTTTAGAGGAGGTTTGTGTACATAAAAAAATAGCAGCCGGTTTCATCTGTTTACTAACAAGTCTCTCATGCTCTGTAAGCCTGTTTAAATGAGTAGGCTTGTGCTTTCTGGTTGTGTACTGTGCACTTGTTTGAATTTTCATTTTGTAAATACTGTCCTTTTCCATTCATCTGAACTGAGTTACCCTGAGTTAATGAGTTTCACACCTGGTGTTCCTTATGGAGGGAATATAATTGACTCAGTATGTTTCTCAATTTAGGAATTGATTCCGAAGGCCATGCAGCTAACTTTGTAGAGACGGAGCAGATAGTGCACTACGGTGGGAGCAGGGCCTCCTTCGTGCAGGTGAGTTCCCCCACTGCGGCCTGTCCGCTGGACCCTCCTGTTCAGCTTGCTGAAGTTCTCCTCTCCTCCCTTCCCTTCCTTTGTTAAGGAACATCTCTGTGTACTCCAAGAAAGGGCAGCTGATTAGTCTGGCCCCAAAGGCATTTCCTGCCCGTAAGCTGAATCCCTAAGGGAGAGGGTAGGCCGAGGTGTGAAGGCTGTGGAATTCCAGTCCCTCCTGTGCCCACGGAGGAGATAGGACCGCTGATGCTAGCTGGGCTCACCAGCCTGCACGTCGGGGCAGTACAGCCACACCACTCATTTGTTCCCCCATGGACTCATAGGTCACTTTCTGCTCCTGTCTTCATGACTAAAATATTCATATGCCCATAAAGGTATTCCTTTGAAAATGAACATAGTAGTTTCTGATTTTTCATAATGCTGTATTACAAAAGGGATGCAGTGGTACCTCAGTTTATGAACTTAATTTATTTTATGATTTTGGGGAAGACGATCGCGTTTGTGTTTGTTTGGGGAAGATAGCCATCCGTGCTTGTGTTTGCACCCAATTCAGAGTTGGCGAACCGAAGCAAAATTTTGCTGAACATGCCTGTTTGCAAACTGAATTGTTTGTAAATAGAAATGTTTGTGAACCAGTCGAAATGTTTGTAAATAGAAATGATTTTAGACTTGAGGATCAATCCGTATTTTCTGGTTTGTATTTCTGTAACTTGTTAATTTTCATTTGTGGTAAATTCATTAATTTTAGAATTCAGGGAGAATACAGAACTGTCTGTTACACAGATACCGTCTTTTTAACACTAAGGAGGAAAAGTCCTTTCTGAGCCTATTCCCATAAAACATGAACTTTTTTTTTTCTTTTTTTCTATTTTTTTTTTGAGTCAGGGTCTCCCCATGCAGTTCAGGCTGACCTGGAGCTCACTTTGTAGCCTAGGCTGGTCTTGAACTCACAGTGATCTTCCTGCCTCCGCCTCCGGAGTGCTGGGATTACAGGTGTGTGCCACCACGCCCAGCTTAAAACATAAACCTTAAAAATAGGCGCATATGTACTCTTTCATAGTGTGTAGTTTGTATGATTTTTCCCATTGTAGCCATTGATCCCTGTACTGCTGACAATAAGTTGAGAAAAACAGAGTTTGTATTTCTTTTTTTTAGACTCGAGGATCAATCCCTATTTTCTGGTCCCAAAGACCAAACCTCAAGTACAAACCACTGCCACAGATCAGCAAAGCAGCAAATCACGTGTGTATCTTCCCTGCTAACAGTGGAAACCCGGTGGCGCGGTAGTTTGTGTATAGGACGAGTATTTGTTCCCCATTCATCAGAATTCAGCATCTCTGAGGCCCTTCTCCTTGGTTCCAGCACACAGGGAGCCTTTAAACCCAAATTCTGCAGAGTGGCATTTTAGAAATGCGGACAGAAGGCTGATTGTGGGGCATGGCAGATGTGGATTTGAGAGGCCTTGGGAAGCTCTGCAACATTCACGCTGTCTAGAGCACTTCATACATTCTGTGGAGGTTGTACTCACGTATTGTAGCTCAGTAAGATGCTTCTAGTTACTGTTTACTGTATGGTATTTAGACTATCTAAAAGACATGATCCCTCTTAACACCGTTCCTTTAAATATAGAAATAGGACATTTGAGGGGGTACTTTAAAACATACTGTAAATATTCCTGTAATGTCAAATAAGTAATTCCTGTAATGTCAAATATACTTCTTCCCCCAGATGGATGGCTTCCAAAGGCATTTTGATTCACAAGTAATTATTTATGGAAAACAAGTCATAATCAATCTGGTATGTTTCTTGCATGTTTCTTTGAGGGGAACTAAAAACCCTTTTTAAGTTCACAGATAATTTAGTTTTAAGCATTTTAAAATTTGTAGCTCAATGGCATTAAGTATTTCCTAACATGTGCAGTCCTTTGCCTCTTCCCACTGTGGCCGGAACTGTGCCATTAACAGTGAGCGCCCACCCTCACCTCCCACCAGCCCCAGGAGTTCTCTGCTGCTTCCTAGCTCTCTAATTTTGTCTGTTTCCAGTTTCCACGTAATTGAAATCATAAAATGTGCCCTTTTGTGTTTTGCCTGTTTCACTGGGTATGATGTCTTAAAGGTTTATCCATGTTTTAGAATTTTGTTTTTATTTTTATTTAGTTATTGTATTATTTATTTTATTGTATTTTTAAATTTATTTTTTATTTATTTATTTATTTTTTTGGAGTCAGGGTTTCACTATGCAATTCAGGCTGTCCTTGAACTTTGTAGTGCAGGCTGGCCTCAAACTTGCAGCAATCCTCTTGCTTCAGCCTCCCCAGTGCTGTGATCACCACTCCTGGTCTCTCTTTTTCACTCTTGATAATACACTTTTATACACAAAGTTTTCAAGTTGTGATGAAGCCCACCTTCTCTGTTTTTTCTTTTGTTACTTGTGGTCTTGGTGCCATGTCAAAGAACTTCATTGCCAAATATAACATTGTTAAAAATTTCCCCTATAATTTCTTCTAAGACTTCTTTTTTTTTTTGGTTTTTCTCTGGTACCGGGAACTGAACTCACAACCTTGCGCTTGCCAGGCAGGCACTTTTGCCGCTGAGCTAAATCCCCAGCCCCTCTTCTAAGACTTCTATAGTTTTAGGTTTTCAATCCATTTTGAGTTAATTTTACACGTGGTATGTGGTAAAGGTCCAGCTTCATTCTCTTACACGTGGAGATCCAGTTTCCCAGCACCATTTGTCAAAAAGCCTGTTGTTTTTTCCTGAAAAATGAGTTAAACATATATACAAAGGTGAATTTTGGACCCCCTGTTCTGTTCCAAAGAGCTCTGTCTGTCCTTTTCTTGTGTGATGCTGTGTTTGTAGTAAGTTTTGACATCAGTAAGAGACTTCCCTCCAACTTCTTCCTACTTTTTCAAAATGGTTTTGGCAATTTTGGAAATTGCATATGAATTTTAGGAGGGTTTTTTATTTCTACAAAAAATGCCATTGAAGTTTTAGTAGAGATTGCCTTGAATTTGCAGTTCACTTTTGGTGGCGCTGTCACCTGAGCAAGTTTTAAGTTTGTCAATTCTGGAGCACAAACGTCTTTTAACTTTTTATGCCTTTAAAGTTTTTTCAGTGAACATGTTCTTCAAGCCCTATGTTTATTCCTATGTATTTCTGTTGAATTTTCCTGAGTATTCTTTTTGATACTGTTGTAAATGGAGTTGTTTCTTAACTTCCTTTTTGAATTTTGTATTGTTACCATATAGGAATGTAACTGATCGTTGTGTGCGGGATTTTGTATGCTGTACCTTTGCTGAGTTTATTATTTCTGACAGCTTTTTCTGTGGGTTTATTAGGGTTTTTTATATAAAAGATCATGGGTTAGAATTAGCGTTCTCCTTCACTTTTAAAAGACAGTTTCACTAAATTTCGAATTGTTGGTTGACATTTTTTTTCAGTTTCTGGGAATTGAACCAAGGGCCTCATACATGCCTGGCGGGTGCTCTGCTGCTGAGCTACACCCCAGGCTCACCCCTGGCAGTTAAGTGTGTCATCCCATAGCCTTGGCCTTTCAGATTTCTGATGAACGATCAGAGATAATTGTATTTACAATCCCCTGTGGGCAGTGAGTCTCTGCTCTCTATGCTTTCAGCCCTGTAATTGTAATGTTTTTGGTTTGCAGTTCTTGAGTTTATCCTTCTTGGAGTACAGTGTACTTTTTTTTTTTTTGGTCTTTTTGAGGCAGGGTCTTGCTCTGTAGTTCAGGCTGGCCTTGAACTCACTTTGTAGCCCTGGCTGGCCTCGAACGCATAGCAGTCCTCCTGCCTCAGCCTCCCAAGTGCTGAGATTACAGGCGTGCACCACCTTGTTCAGATTTACAGTATACTTCTTGCATTTGAAGATCCCTGTCTTTCATCAAATTTGGAAAGTTTCGGGCCAGTTTTTTATGCAGATCTTCTCTGCTTTTCTCCTAGCTTGGTGGTGTCCCTGTAGTCTGCTGACTTTGTTCACATCTCTTCATTCTGTTTTCTCTGTGCCTCATACATGCTAGACAAGTATTCTGCCGCTGAGCTACATCTCTGTTGTTTTTTCTTGTTCTTGTTCTTTTTCCTTTTCCTCAGTTTGATTTCAGATTTTTTGTCTTGAAGTTCAGACTCTTTTCCTGCTTGCTCAGATGTGCTGGCGGGTCCCTGCTGGGGTTTCCGGTTAATTTCAGTTATTGTCCTTTCATTTGCTTCCTGTCAGTGATTTCTGTTTCTTTGTTGATACTCTGATTTTGTTCATATATTGTCTCCTGATTTCCTCCAGTTCTTTGTCTATATTTTCCCTTAGCTCACTGAGCATATTTAAGATCACTGTTCTAAAGTCCTTGGGTAGTAAGCCTAATGTCTTTGTTTCCACAGGGACAGTTTCAACCCATTGGTTTTCCTTTGGATGTACCATATTTTCCTGCCTCTTTGTGTGCCTGTGATTTTTTAAAAATGGCATATTTGATTATTATAATTGTTCATTCTGAGAGTTAGTGTCCCCCCCCCCCGGGGGGGTGTGGTGTATTATGTTGTCGTGTTTTGTTTTGTTCTTTTTGCTTTGTTTTGTTCTTGATTGTTGAAGACTATAGTAATGTATTGGTTGGGAGACTTTGCCAAACAGTTCTGCAAAGACTGTTTGTTGTCCTGCATATTCCTAGAAAACTTATTTCCTTTTGCCGTGTTCAGCTAGTGTTTTTGACAGATTCATTGAATTGTAGGAATTGAAACACTAGCAAAGCATGGATGAGAGCACAGTCCTGTTTCCTGCTTTTTGCGGGTGGTCTCTCTGCTGGCTCGGACCTCCTCCAGTTAGCCGGGCTCCCCGCAAGCCTGGGGAACAGCGTTGGGGGAAGGCTCAAAGTTTTCTTGGGATTTTTTGTGCATGCATCTTGCCTGGGTATGTGGGTGACTTTCAGAACTCCTTCCTGGGCCCAAGGATAGCTCAGTGGCGCAGTGCCTACCTGGCAAGTGTGAGGTCCTGAGTTCGATTCTTGGTACCAAAAAAAATAACCCGCTTTGCTGTACAAGCTGCTTTTGAGTGTTCCTGTTTCCCAAAGAGCAGCACCCAGCATCCTTTCCAGGGTTGGGGGGAGCTGTATATCTCTTCCCAGATCTCTTCCCCTGGGCGTTTGGTGGTTTGTAGTCCTCTTGTAGCTTTTATGCGCAGTGTCCAGCATTTTCTCCTGTGTTCAGTTGCCTGAGACAGAGATGAGTGAGTTAGTCGTTCTTCAGGTTAGCGGGGAGGTGCACAGATACTTGTAACCAGGCCTGGTCTGCTTCTGCTGGTTCTATGAAGGGAGCTGAGCTAAGGTTTCTGCTAAGTTTGGCACCTTCTTGGAAGGAGCCAGGGGAAGAGGCTCAGTGGGAATGTCAGAGCTTTGCTGCAGTTTGGAAGGTGGCCTTTCTTGATTGGCTGTCTAGTTGGTTGCGGTAGACCTTTGGTTCTTTTCCATACGCCTACAAAGCTGGTTCCCTTGGGTCTGGTGGGTGCTTTGCTTTGATTGAGCTGGTGTCTTCGGCCTTTGCCCAGGCCGGTCTTGACCTGCACCTTGCTCCTGCCTGCGCAGCTGTAGCTGCAGTGTGCGCTGCGGCCCTGCCCATGCCCCCTTCGCCAGAATGAGCGCTGGGCGCATCCTCGCTCTTTGCGTGGCTGAACTCTCTCTGTTGAAATGAACTCAGAGCTGTGTTTGGGATGTTTCACAGGTGAACCAGAAGGGCTCGGAGAAGCCGTTGGAGCAGGCGTTTGCGACCATGGTGTCTTCCCTGGGCAACGGGATGATCAGGTACCTGCCAGGCGTGCGGGGCGCTTCTCTTCAGGTCTGATGTGTGCGCACACGCATGCACAAGTGTGGAGTGCTCACTGCACTTCCCTGGCTGGCCGTGTTCTCCATGCCAGACAAAGCACGATCGTATTTTTTGTTGGTTTGAAATGACCTCTGGCAGAATTCATGTTGCAGAGTAACTTCTTCACAGGCAAGCTTGAATTCATGTGTACTGCCCCAGGAAAATCCCTCCTCCAGCCTTTCTGTGCCTGTGGGGCATTAGGCCTTCCTTACAAGATCCCGCCTGCGTTTTTCAGTGTCTATACCTTGCACATATGTGTGGCAGAGGTAATTCTCACTTGTCAGTGTGTAATGAGCTTCGGACAGTTACCTAATACATAAGGGGCACGGGTCTAGACGTCAGGGGTACCCGGTGTGCAGGTGCTATATACCAAGATGAAAACACTGCTCTTCAGAGGGGAACAAATCTTTTCCCAAGACCCGAGCATCTAGGGGCAGCTCGTGCAGAGAGGCTGACACGGGGAGCACAGCAAGTGCCTCGTGCACTCCACGTCTGCCCATTTCCTGCTCTGGAGCGGAGCCTCGGCCGGAGTCTGAGCAGGAGCGCTGGAGGGACAGTGCGCTGTCATCTGCACAGAGAGAACCCGCTGAAGCACCGCCCTCGTGTGACTCCTGCGGTGCCAGCAGGTGACAGGGATGTGAACAGCGTGTGGGCTTCCGGGGTACAAACAGAACCCGCCATCACTCAAGCCCAGGGCACCACCTGCCTCTGCACTTCTCACAAGCCTAGTGCGCAGCACGCGCTCGAGCAGGCTGTCATGGATTGACTGTTGTTTGGGCGTTTTGAGCATAGGAATGGATTTAAAAATTACACAGAGGCACGGGCCTGTTCTGTGCACCCTAGCGGGGAGAATAGATACAGGCTCGATGCTCACGGCAGCGCCTCCCTACATGCACCTGAGTCCGCTCCACTAGCATGTGCTGAGCTGCTCCTTGGCTCCTGTCTGTGGGCCCAGGAGTAGAGTGTGTGTACGTTTGTACGTGTGTGTGTCCACGTGTGCAATATGGACACTCATAGCTATGATCACAAGAAGGGGTGCGGGAGAGTGGCTCCCACAAAGTGAAGGAGGTTCGTGTGTTCTAAGAAGTGTGTGTGCTCCAGGTGTGTGTGACTTCAGTGGGAAGTCAGCACATGAAGATATTGATGAAAAAAAATGATCTTGGGCTGGGGATATGGCTCAGTGGCACAGTGCCTGCCTGGCAAAGCCTGAGATCCTGAGTTTGAGTCCCCGTACCAAAAAGAAAAAAGAAAATAAATGGTCTGTTGTCAATTTCTCAATGTTTTCTTTCGGTAGATATATTGCCTTTGACTTCCATAAGGAATGTAGACATATGAGATGGGATCGACTAAGTATTTTAATGGACCAGGTAGCAGAAATGCAAGATGAATTAGGGTAAGCTATACTATTTTCTTATAGAGGGAAAGGGGTGTATGTGTGTCTGTCAGTAGTATTTATTATGCATTGTCTAGCAGATTTACAAAAGATGGTTCACTGGATTGTCATTACTTGTGTTTAGTTTTTCTTTTCTTTGGTCTTTTTAAGACAGTGTCTCGCTGTGCAGTTCAGGCTGGCCTTGAGCTCACTTTGTAGCTCAAGCTGGTCTCGAACTCGCAATGATCCTCCTGCCTCAGCCTCCCCAGTGCTAGGATTACAGGCATGCACCACCAGACCTGACGATATTATTTAAATTTTTTATTGGAAAGATGAGAATTGGTGATTTTAAAATATTTCTAAATTCTTAGAAGTGACAGAATATCAAGTATATTCATATTATAAATTATCTTTTGTGCATTTACAAATTCTCCCGTAGTGGTAATTGAACTTGATTTAGAACTGTTTTTAGTTAGATGTTTTCACTGAACTTTCAGTCTGGGGTATTTGTTACTGGCCTTTTCAGTCTGTAATGATGGTGGCTTTCCTTCACTTTCAGTGTCTATCTGCTTCACTTCTGTTTCTCTTTCTACTGTGAAAAGCTGGGCTATAGTAAATCACCCTAGGTACACGCTTTCCTTCACTTTCAGTGTCTATCTGCTTCACTTCTGTTTCTCTTTCTACTGTGAAAAGCTGGGCTATAGTAAATCACCCTAGGTACACGCTTTCCTTCACTTTCAGTGTCTATCTGCTTCACTTCTGTTTCTCTTTCTACTGTGAAAAGCTGGGCTATAGTAAATCACCCTGGGTACAAGTATATACATTTCTTTATGTCTGTTACCCACCTCCAACTCAAGGGGAGCAACTCTGAGGAGGGCGGATGGTGTAGAAGGTCTGTGCCTCTTTGTGGGGTTTAACACATTCACTGAAAGTAATCAGGTCCGTTTGTACACCAGTGATACGTGCTGCCCAGTGGGACGGTCACGCACATAGCACCGGTGGTTCTGGCCACCTTGTTTTTTGTGAGGTTTCACCATGAGTAGTGTGTGAAGGGAGACAGACTTACTTTATTGAGGTGTTGGAGAAAACCATGGCTGGGTCTGGCACGTCCTTAGACAGCTGGCTTCGTGGGTTCACCCTTAAGTGTAGTCATACCAGAATGTAATGAGGAAGACTGACGCCAGAGTCTGTGTCCGGTGCTACTCAAAGTGTGCCCCAGGGACAGCGAGGCTCTGGCCTCGGCTTTCAGATGGCCTCTCGAGATGTTTATTCCTGGGCTTTGGTAGTAGGGAGAGTCCAGGCTTCTGTCCTGATGCATCTTGGTGTGAATCTCAGTTTATCTCACGTTAGGCGTGTGGCCCCAGGACCTGTTGGTTCTACACTTCGTGTAAAATGAAGATAATGTCTGCCCAGCAGATGTACTGTCCAGTTTAGGAAATGATGTTTACAAGATATGTAGTGTTTATTCCATAGGTCTCGTGGGGTGCCCTCACTCCTGCGTGCGTGTGTCTGCATGCCAGCTCTAAACCCACCTTGCAAATTCTGCGTAACCTCAAGTAGATTTTTTTTATCTAAACTTCTCCTTCTGGGTTCTTGTTCCCAAGAGCATAATTTCTGTTTAGCTCTCAACAGATGTACCGCATGTCCTCCTTTCTTTAGGACCCTGGGCGGCCATTCGGGTGTGTTGATGCTGTGTATTCACGCTCTTCTCTGCATGCTCTGCTTAGGACTTCCTGGTGCATAATGCGTGGTCGCATGTATGGCTTTGAGCCGCCCGAGGGAGTGGAGTCGCCTCCATGTTTAGTTACACAGTAGGAAGTTGCCTACAGTACCAGGCTAGCAAACAGGTTAGTTGCTGTCTAGCAGAGTCCATATGTTGTTCTTAACCACTCCGCTGAGTGCTGTCGGCTTTCTGAGCTGACAGCATTGTCTACGGAGCTTGTTAACCGTAAAGGAAACATAGGAACTGCTGGCCGTCACGGTGGGCTGCGGCACCGATACCTGAGGAGTTAAGGGAAGAGGGGGAAACTGATTTTTCAGATAGTACCTGGGTTTTTTATATTTTGTACTATTTGCATGTGTTCCTCATTTAAAAAGAAGAGGACCCTGTTGTGTGAGTACATGCCTCTTAGCTAAGCCAGAAGCTGAGGCAGGAGGATCAGAAGTACAAGGCCAGCCTGTGCAACTTAGCAAGACCCCATCTCAAAATTTTAAAAAGGGTGGGGATGTAGCTCGGTATGAAGGTGCTGGATTCACTCCCCTAGATACGTACCCTGTGTAGTCCCTGCTTCAGAGATTCTGACTTAGTTGATCTCAAGATGAAGAATTTTCATTTCTAAAAAGCCACCCTGAGGATCCTGATACGGACTGAACGGGCCAGAAAACCCTGATGGGTACAGGCGTAGTGGAAGTAATTATGTTCAGGGAAACCTCTTCTGCTATCCATAGCAACCTTCACAGTCCTCCCATCTTTCCGCCTTTTCTGTCTGAGGTGTGATGGGCTCTAATATCACAGCTGCTTTTTGGGTAGGGTCTGTGTTCCTCAGCCAAACTTCTTCGTGGTGTAGGTAATAAACCGTGCACTATTCCTGCCCCATTTTAAGGCGGCTTCAGTAGTGTCCCTGAGGTGAGGCTGTGCCCTGAGAGGTGGTCACTGGTAGGTCTGGCTGACCTGTTTTGGTATGAGAGTGTTTATACAAATGTGTTTTAGTTATTTTCTAGTAGACTCTGCTGGCAAGGTGGTGACAAACCAGGAAGGCGTGTTCCGCAGCAATTGCATGGATTGTCTCGACAGAACCAACGTGGTCCAGAGCCTGTTAGCACGACGTTCTCTGCAGGCCCAGCTTCAGGTGCGAATTCTTCTTTCTTTTCTTTTCTCTTTTCTTTTCGTAATCATTAAGTTGATTGCCATAATTTGCATATACATATTGACCTCATTCATCATAGGCAGTTTGTATCTGTACATGGTATGTCTTGATACCTCTTTTTTTTTTCCCCATTCCCCTCCCTTTCCTTCAAAAACAGTGTGGCAAGAAAATAACCTTTATCTTTCAAAACCAATAGGAAGCCTCACTCCCCTTGCCCCCATCTTACCTAACCCTGGTTTTACTTTTGTGTGTGGCCATTACTTCGTGCACACGGTCAGAACGCGGATGCACGACTTCTTCATTTTTTTGCCTTTTGAGACAGAGTTTTGTTGTGCAATTCAGGCTGACCTGGAGCTCACTTTGTAGCCCAGGCTGGCCTGAACTCACAATGATCCTCCTGCCTCAGCCTCCCAAGTGCTGGGATTACAGGCGTGTACTACCACGCCCAGCTGGATGCACAGTTTTTAAGTTTGCCATTTACTCTAATATGAATGTGACCATAATTTTCAATGGTTGTATCATACTGCAGCTTACTCAGCCAGTTAAGTTGCTATGCTTTTGGCTTTTAAATAATACTACAGAGAATATATCTGCTTTTATTATTAACTTGAATAATTTTCTTTGGTTTAATTCTAGAGTTGGAACTACTGTGTAAAGAGAATCTATTACTTTCCAGGAGGGTTGTACAAATTTACACTGATGTCAGCAATGAATAAGTAAATAAATCTATTTCATTGAGCTCTTGCCAGTATTAGATATTTTTACTTAAAATAATTTTTTTCTATTTTAATAGTACAGAGTTGTACTTCAAGTTTGTTTGCATTTGCATTTTATTACTGGCAGAGGATACTAACTTCCAGGTAAAACATTTCTAATAACAACTTTGTTTTACCATCAACATTGATTTGCTAATGAGAGAAAAGATACAAATATCTTCTGGTTTTATTTGCAATAACAAATATGCTGTAAATTTCTAAGTCAGATTTCTAAGTCACATTGGTGCCGGGCATGGTGGTGCATGCCTGTAATCCCAGCGCTTGGGAGGCTAAGGCAGAAGGAGGATCGTTGTGAGTTCGAGACCAGCCTGGGCTAAAGTGAGCTCAAGGCCAGCCTGAAGTGCATAGTGAGACTCTGTCTCAAAAAGACAAAAAAAAAAATCACACTGGCATTTGTTGTGAGGGGCAAAAAGGACATCTCCGATGGTTTGCTGCCTAGATAATTAGCATTCACCTTTACTTCTGACAATTGTACGGTACGGGGAGGAAATTGTGGAAGTAAAATATCACCTTTGGGATGAATTGTTCTTGAGTCCTAAAATAACACCTGCTGCGGAGTGATTTTTTTGGCACAGTCTCTAGTTTGATTCTGCTGTCCTGCTCAGCCTGGTGAAGACCCGGGAGGTCCGTGTTTAGTAGAAGCTGTGTGAGGGGCGCTGGCTCCGTGGCTGACTCACCAGAGCCTGTCTTAGTAGGTTCTGTGATTACAGCTCGCTCTTTTCCATGCTTACACCCAGTGTTACGAACCCTCACGGACATCCAGAGCCCTCTGGACTGTGGGCCAGACCCTCTCGAGCAGCATTGCCAGCGAGTGTGTGGACTGTTTTGTTTTTCCACCTCGAGTGAAGACAGCTTTTGACTAGTTAAAAGCCAGGAGGGTGGCTCCCGTGCTGTGCCGGGCGTGGAGCCGCCCATTCTGAGGAAGGCAGGGGGCAAAGATGGCAGTTCTGAGAGAGTTGATGGGCTGAGGCAAAGGGCAGGGCCAGGTTTCCAGCGGTGTGGCTGGCAGACCCCAGAGGTCCCTGGGTGACGCAGGAGTGCGGACACCTCGCGATGGGGAGCCGTGAGAAGGCAGCACAAGGTTAGGGTGGGAGGAAGGAGGAAGCGGCCGCTCACGCCCCACAGCAGCCGCGCGCTCCCTGCTCCCTTTCCCGGCCCGTGGTGTCTCTGTCCCTGTGGTGCGGAGGCTCCGGGTGAGGCCCAGTCGCCTCTGGAAGGGCTTTGCTGTCTGCCCTGGGTGGAAGAGGGCCCTGTGGCCAGCAGCCAGGGAAGGTGGGACAGGGTTTGGGGACTGCTGGCTTTTTCTTGCTCCGCCATGTCTGCCGAAGCCTGTTATATGTAGGTATGGGTGTGGTTCTCGTTCTAGAGACTAGGAGTTTTGCATGTGGGACAGAAGCTTGAAGAACAAGATGAGTTTGAGAAGATTTACAAAAATGGTAAGTGACTTCTTTAATAAAGGCAGAGTTGCTCAATTTTTGAAATATTTTTTTTATTTAGAACTGTAGCTATCATTTTAATTACGATCAGCTCTTCTCTACTTTTTTTATAGCCTGGGCTGACAATGCAAATGCTTGTGCCAAACAGTATGCAGGAACTGGTGCCTTGAAGACCGACTTTACCAGGCAAGCGGCCCCGTGACTCGTGTTCCACCCCAGGGCCGTCAGCCCTGCTGCTGGGAGAGTCCCCCGACCTATCAAGGTGCCCGGGACGAGGCCCGGCGCAGTGGGTCCTTAGCCTCACCCAGGACTTCTGGTGCGCAGGAGCTGGAGAAGCAGGGCTGTGCAGCACTTCTTAAATTTTCCCACAGCCCTAGAGCTGCACCGCTGAGAGGGCACGCGGCCGGGAGAACGCTATGGCCCCGGTACTGGTGCATGTGGGCCCCTTCTGTGTGCCCTGTGGATTCCCTGGGACCAAAATCCTGCTTCTGGCCTCGATGCCATTTCATACCACTTAACTGGTACTGCGAGCTGCTCTTCATCTTCCTGGCTTTGTGGCTGGAACTGTTTTCTCTTTGTCACCCGTATAGTTGGCCCTGTGTCCACCAGTTCTGTGTCCGTGTGGTTGTGATTTAGCCGGCATAGATCGAAAATAGTCAAACAAAAATTGCACCTGTATTGAGCATATATAGACTTCATCCCTTTTCACTGCTCCCTAAATAACACGGTGTAACAGCTCTTCAGGCTGAAGAGCATACCATCTACGGGATGCTTCTGGGGCAGCTCCACCCCACTCCATTAAGCAACCTGGGCACCTGCAGACTTGAGGACACTCCGTGGACACTCAGGGATGGCTGAGCTTGTTTATTGGAGCAGCTAGTGACTATTGTAGAATGGTATTTTCAGGGATAATTTTTAACATCTTTGTAGCTCATTTCCATAACATATTGGCCATAAAATAGCTTGAGAATTTAGTGTGCCAGTTTCCACTTTAAAATTGAACCTCTTTTAATCAGGACTGGAAAGAGAACCCAGTTGGGACTTATCATGGATGGCTGGAACTCACTCATACGCTACTACAAAAACAACTTTTCTGATGGATTTAGACAAGTAAGCGTGTTTGATTTTTGGTCACTGGGTGACGATGTGTGTGCATTTTTTGTTCAGTCATGTGACCACATCAAGTTTAGGGATTTAATTTCCTTTCCTCTGTTCTAGGATTCCATCGACTTATTTCTTGGGAACTACTCAGTGGATGAATTAGAGTCTCATAGTCCTTTAAGTGTTCCAAGGGACTGGAAATTCCTGGCTGTAAGAGTCCTTGGTTTTCTCTGGTTGAAAGCACTGAAGGTGTAGATGTTGCAGACTCTTCTAACCCACAGCATTACACACCGTTCTGCGTGGAATACAGATACTCAGGCAGTGGCGGAGCGAAGATCAGGGCAAGGAAAAAAAAAGCGGCTGTAGCTTTGTGTCTCTTCCGGGACACACTGGCACGCCTTTCTGTGTGAGAACATACAGGCCAGGGGGAGAAAGATACTGTGTATATCAGCTTGTAGAAAGTTTTATGCATTTTCCAAAAAAAGTACACGACTGATTTTGCAGCCATTGGAGATTGATCGTAATGGTTTCCCCTTTCTCTTTTCCAGTTGCCTATTATCATGGTGGTTGCCTTCTCAATGTGCATTATCTGCTTGCTCATGGCCGGTGAGTCTGCTCTTACTTCACATCCTTACATGTATCCCTTAGTTGGAGGGTTGGCTTTGTTGGTATAATGCCTTGAGTTTTTGAGCACACTCAGCCTTTGATTTTTACCTGTTAGGTTTTCTGAGAGTGAGCTGGGCGTGGTGGTACACGCCTGTAATCCCAGCACTTGGAAGGCTGAGGCGGGAGGATTGCCAAGTTAGAGGCCAGCCCGGGCTACATAGTGAGACTCTGTCTCAAAAAAAAGGATGGAGTAAATAAAGTTAGTTCTTTTGATGTTACAGGAAGAAAAAAAATATATCTTGTACTTTGATAATCAACTGGATTTTATTTGCTTGTATTTGTGGTGCTAAGGATCAAACCCAGGGTATCAGCTTGCTAGGCAAGTGCTCTACCACTGAGCGACAGACTTAGCCCCTGCTCATTTCTTTATTTCATTGAAGATTTTGGTCACTTTTTGTCTTACTACCAAAGTAATACTCAGTAATTACAGAAAACAAAGGTAGGCAAGAAAATACATAGAATATACGTAGGAAAATTGCTTTGTCACCTCTGCCACCCCTGCTGTGAGAACCCAGCAGCAGAGCTGGCTAGAATTCAGTAGTTTGGCCGCTCTTTTCTGCGTCCCCTGCGGGAGCAGGTGATGGGTGGCACGCAAGTCTTGTCTCCTCCTGCCTCCTGCATAGGTCCCTGAGATGTCCTCCCCTCCTGCCTGCCGCACCAGGCCTGGGGCTGTCTGCTGCCACCTCTGACTTCTTCAGCACTTTGCCCAGGGGAGCCGTTGCTGGAGCTCGCCACTGCTAAATTGATTAGTGTTGTTTTGTTCCTTATTCCCACGTTTCTTGGTGGAAGAGCCTCTGGGGAGGCAGGAAGGTCCACACCAAGAGCTCGGCATGGAGAGTGGAGGCTTCCTTTGGGAGAGTGCCCAGCAGCTGACCAGCGCCAGCTTTCTTTCTTACTGTCTTAGAGAAATATTAAGGACTGTGAAAACTGGTAATTATACAAGTTTTAGCCAGGCCTGTAATTCTACGCACTCGAGCCTGGGGCAGGAGAATCGCATTTCAGGCCCGCTTTGGCAGCTCCACGAGGCCCTCTCAAAAGAAAATTTCCAGAAAGGGCTGAGGAATGTGGCTTAGTAGCACAGCGCTTGCCAAGTGTGTGCACGGTCCTAGCAGTTGCACCCCAATGCTGTGCCCCCCAAAGACGTTCTTAGATTCTTCCTGTGGGCGTGCTAGTGAACTGTACTGTTGCAGAGATGTGCTACACAGCGGACATTGGATGTGGTGTCAACACCTAACTTTCACTAACTCTGTTTTAAAATCAACAGGTGACACTTGGACAGAAACGCTGGCCTACGTGCTCTTCTGGGGAGTGGCAAGCATTGGAACATTTTTCATTATTCTTTTCAATGGCAAAGATTTTGTTGATGCTCCTAGATTGGTCCAAAAAGAAAAGATAGACTGAATTTGTGTTTGTGGAAAGCGGCTCAGGTTGGAAGAGTCCGTGATGCAGAACTGGAGTCTTTACTGACCCGCTTTCCACATGAGCGCAGGTCTTTCGAAAGCCTTTATCCAAAAACACTTCTCCTGCAGAGTGCGGGCGCCAACTCTGCGTTGATCTCATGTCCTCGCCTTGATGATCTCTTCGCTCTTGGGATGGTTGCATTTATAATTTGAAGCTATGCGATAATTGAAATAGAGCCTGCATTCAGCCCTCAGAATGGAAGGCATCTATTCATTGTCAAGTTAATCAACTGTTGCTGATAAGTAATATATTTTAAAAACTTAGCTTCTTTCATTATTTAAAACAGTAAAATTATTTTTCTAGCTCAGTTTTAATATTGTCATTATAGAAATAGTCGCTGTTAGCAAGCATACCTTTCCACACACCTTTGGGCTTTTCTTAGCAGTTTGGTGATGAGCGGACTCTCCCGTGTTCCTACGGTGTAAGTCTCCTGCAGTCATCAGCTTGGGGCGCTGGCGCGTGACGGCATGGCTGGGAGGAAGAGCGGGCCCCAGGCCGCCCCTGGACTTCGGCGAGCTCACACGTGATGGCAGAGTTCACGTATACTGTATCTTTTGTGAAAGGTCTACATGAAATCAAAGAATGTAAAGTCTGTCTCCTGTGCTAAAGGTCCAAGCAGCCTCTTCCTAAGGCTTGCCCCGGTGGGAATACCCGTCTTGCCCGCTGCTTCCTGTGTCCCTTCGTGGGCGTTACTCATCAGGACGCACAGCCTCTGAGCGGTCCAGTGCTAGACTGGACACCGCACGTGGGGGCCGCAGCTGCTTTTCCACGCACGGTACCATCGCTTTCACCCTGCAGGGTCTTGCTCAGTGAGTGTGTTGGAACCCAGTGCTGCTTGGTAGTTACAGTCTCCAATCAGGGACCAACTTCATGTGCAAAACCCCCCCAAAAACACTGCTTCAGAAGCTGTGCATAGTTGTAAGTCAGATTGTATATTCAAACTGTAATTACGAAGTTTAGTATTAGAACAGTATGTAAAGTAGTATAATTACCACTATTTTAAAACAATTAAACACTGCTATATTGTTTCAGTGTTGTGCTTGAAAATATGTACCATTTTTTTCATTAATAATACCTTATGTTGTCCTTAAATATTTCTAAAAGCGCCTTTATTTTAACATTACATTTTCAGCATTATCTTTTATAAACATTAATAGTTGTTGCTTTTAGAAATGCTAAAGGAAATAACATCTGGAAACCCTGCATAGCTTTAAATCAGTCATTTAACCCAGGGTCGGGTGAGTGAATAGAGCCACCTATTCCTAATGTGTAAATAATCATCCTTCGTTCCAGAGGTGGAATAGTGACACTTAGCGCCTGTCTACTGTAATGTAAACCCAAGTGCTACCAGATGCTTCACAGTAAGAACTTAATGTCAGCAGTTACGACACAGACCAAGTCCGAGCTGTAGTGTGGCTGCTTTGCAGGGAGTGGACTAATCTTGGTGTATTAGGTCAAAGCTGTCAATATTTAAGAACTCTGTCATGATTTTATTTAATCCATGTACTGTACATCTGTAAGTGAAAATAAAATGTCATATTCTTTTCTAATTATTGGTGGTATCATTTCTGTGCTTTCTCTTGAGAGACAATGATTTTTTAATCTTTTTTTGTTTTTGTTTCTGTCTTTTCAAGACAGGGTCTCGCTATGCAGTTCAGGCTGGCCTTGAGCTCACTTTGTAGCCCATGCTGGTCTCAAACTTGCAGTGCTCCTCCTGCCTCAGCCTCCTGAGTGCTAGGATTACAGGTGTGCGCCACCATGTCCGGCTTTTTTCTTTATTTTAAAGCAATGCATGATCATTATAGAAAAAGTCAGATAACTTAAATAAACAAAATCAGTAGTTTCTGAATTCTCTTTTCCAGTTATGAGATCTTAAGAGATTTTGTGTATCTTTTTTTTTTTTTTTTCTTTTTTTGGTACCAGGAATTGAACTCAGGACCTTGCGCTTGCCAGGCAGGTGCTTGTGCTGCTGAGCTATATCCCCGGCCCTATGTATCTTTATAGTTACTTTTTAGTTAACAGAGAAAAGCAGGGAAACGAATACGAAGGGGCTGTGAGTGGCAGCAGTGTATTGGTTACCTGCCCTCTGTGTGGCAAATAGCCCCAGAACGTGGTGGCTTACAGCAGCCCGCATTGTATTTATTATCCCACGGTTTTGTGCATCGGCGGTTTGGGCCTGGCTTAGCTCTGTCCCTGCTTTGGTGTCTCCAGAAAGTTGCGATCAAGGTTCATCTGGACAGAATCCACTTCCAGAGTCAGTCTCGTGATTGGCAAGTTTTGATTCCTCCAGGCTGCTGGCTGTTGGCCTGCAGCGCCCTCAGTTCCTTGCCACGGCGTCCCCCAGCATTGCAGTGCGGTTCGTGAGGCCATGAAGCAGGAGTGCCCTAGCAAGGTGGAGCGCACAGTCTTCCATAACCGCCTTTCAAGTCTCCTCCCTTCACTGCGGCCGTGGAGGAAGTCACAGGACCGAGCACGTTCAGGTGGAGGAGATTATGCAGAGGCATGAGCACCGGCAGGTGAGGGTCTTTGGGGGACACCTTGAAAGTCTGCCAGCCACAGTCAGGAAAGAGAAGCTGCGAAGCTAAGGAACACAACCAGCACTGGAGGGAAGCAGGTGGCTCCGTGCAGGAGGTGGGCTGAGGCCAGGACCAAGGAACACAGGTTTCCTACAGCTGTGTCGCAGAGGACCTCCCATTGCGCCAGGGCACAACTCGCTGCCTTCCCAGAGAGATCACCCCTAGCTCCACCACCCCACCCCATCTTCCCGTGCATTTCCTCCAAGTTTAGCCCACAGCCTACACCCGTAGATAAGCGATTGTCCAGTCTGACTTTTGAAGGCTGTGAAACTGGTATTCTGTATGTATCCTCCAGCTTGCCTTTGAGCCCAGCATTGTTTCTAAGACTTGCGTGTGGAAGCCTGGACCGGTAGCCCGTTAACCATCATTTGCATAGGATGAATATTATAATATCTATGTTCCCTGAGATTTATTGATGGCCGTGTCACAGTTCATTTTTGCCTAGTGTAACGGTACGTTTGGGTTTTTCTTATGGTTTGGTTTCACACTTGGTCTTGCGGTGAACACTGTGTTCGTCTCCTGGCTTATATGCTGAGCCATATAGGGTAACAGAATTACCTCTCAAATTGGATGTGTCGTCTCTACTCCTGCCGGTTCCACGTTCTCACCAACACGCGGCCTTGCAGACTTCTGACTCTTTTATTTTTTTATTTTTATTTTTATTTTTTATTTTAAAGAGTAAAAGAAGGGTAACATAATAATAGGAGGGGCTTACCAAATTACAGACAAAG